TAAAAAAAAAAAAAAAAAGGTGCTGCTCAGGTAGGGTGAGTGGAACAGACAGACAATAGAGTAGTCGCTAAGGAGGAAGAAGATAACTTCAAGCAGTGATAAGCTTATGAGCAAATTTTATCAGTCATTCGTTCACTCATCCAACCAGTATTTTCTGAGGGACTAGTATATGTCAGAAAATGTTTCAGTCGGGGCCAGCAGGTGGTGTGGTGGTTAAGGTGCTGGACACTCCCACATGGCCGACCATAGTTTGAGTCCCGGGCCTGGTGGCTTGCTTCCTCACTCTCTCTCTCTCTCTGTGCCTCTCTTTGGTCAGATTAAAAAAATAAATAAATGAATGAATGAATAAATAAAATTAATAAAAAATAAATAAATAAAAAATACACCAGTTTAAAAAAAAGAAAAGAAACTGTTTCAGTCTTAGGGATTCAAGATGAACAAGAGGGTTAAAGTCCATACAAGCCTGTAACTTACAGGTAACAAAACAAATCTATTAATGACAGGCAGTTGTGAGTACCTCAAAAGGAGAGAGAAACACTGGAGACTCAGTGATCAGTAAAGGCCAGGCTGACTTACTGACAGCAAAGTATTGTAGGAAGCTGAGCATGGGCTTGTGAGGAACTGCAGGCAGAGTGTTTCAGACTGTAGGAACAAAAGTGTGACTGCATGTAGAAGCTTGGTGTGTTTAAGGAACAGAGGAAAGGATGTATGTGGCTGACGTACTGTTATGAATAAGGGCAACATAGTTTCGTATGTCATAGATGGACAGGGTAAGGTTGTGTGGACCTTACCGACACTAGGCTGTCCCGACCCGGGGGGACAGTTGAACAGGTTTCCTGAGGGAAGGAGTGAGAGCTGGGACGAACAGTGCAGTGTTTCAACACGGAAACGACGCAGAGTCAGGGTCGTCCATTTATTGTAGGCAGGACGAGACGACACAGTGCCATAGCTCCTCAGGGTCGTCTGGGGACGACGCGGTGTCACAACTCTTCAGGGTCGTTCGAAGATGACAAGGTGTCACAGCTCTTCAGGGTCGTCTGGAGACGCCGCGGTGTTATAACTCTTCAGGGTCTTCTGGAGACGATGCGGTGTTACAACTCTTCAGGGTCTTCAGGGTCGTCTTCCTGGTCGGCTATGTCGTCTGGTGATTGTGGGCCAGGGATCGTGGTTATATACATGTTGGTGGGCTGTGATTTGTTGTACAAGGTGGGTTATGATTGGTTGTAAAAGGTGGGTTATAATTGGTTGCTTTTGGACCAATCATGAGGTGCTCACTATGCAAATCTGAGGGATTCTAGTGGCCAATCAGAGCAAGGTTCTGAAGGTTAGGTTTTTTGTTTTTTTTTTGGAGAGATTTTTGCTATAGGGCGTGTGCGCTCGCCAGACAGAAAGAGACAGAGAGACAGAAAGCAGGAAATCACCCCCCAGGGGGATGTCCACGCTGCAATCCCTTCTCCTCCATTCTCCTCTCAGGATCTTGGGCACACACACACACACCCGACGTGAGTTTAAGCCACCGGGTCCGGGACTCAAACCGCCGTCGACTACGTGGGAGTCCAGCGACATAGCCATTACGCTAACTGCTGGTCCCACGTTAGGTTTTTGAAGGGGAGCCAATCATGGCTTTTGGCGTTGTGTAATTGTTTGCTTTCTGAGAAACCGGAACCTAATGACCTTGGCACACTCACTGGTGCACAGCCTCCCACACAAGGCAAGGAGTTTCAGTTTGGTTCTAACATGATGAGAAACTACTAGGGGGCTTTCAGCAAAAAGAGTACTTTGATGAGCATTTACAAAATATTATTCTGGCTATTTGGTGTATGAAAGGGAGACAAATACATAGTAAGGAGATCACTTAAAAGAAAAGAGGATGGGTGGGGAAATTGCTACAAAGGCAAAACCAGCTAGATTTGCTTGATACAGCAGAGGTTCATAAATTCATAAAGAGTTCATAGGTTAACGTTAGACATGCAATTCGTAGATTATTATGCCAACTGCTGGTCCCACAATTAGTAGATTATTTATAAACCAGCTATCACACTACACTCCCACAGTACCTTGAACTTACATCTATCAGAATATTCATCACATTGTCTTCTTTATGTACTTAGCCAGTCACACCTGTGATTACAATTAAAGTAACAGATTTTTAGTTTTCCTATGCCAAATATCTCTAGCCTATAAATAGCTGCTGTTAAATAAATGGTTGCTAAAAAAAATAAGTAAATAAATGGTTGCTGAGGTCAGCAGATGGCAAGGTGGTTAAGGCACTGGATACCTACATAGCTGACTGCAGTTCAAGTCCCCGACCTGGAGGCTTAAAAATCACACCCAGGTATGTGTGCATGAATACCCCAAATCTTATTTTTTGGAGAAGTTTTTGCTATAGGGCACATGCGCTCGCCAGTAAATCAGAGAGAGACAGAGAGACAGAATGTGAGAAATCACCCCTAAGGGAGCAGGGCCACACCACAATCCCTTCTCCTCCATTCTCCTCAGGATCTTGGGCACAAACATGCACCTGACATGAGTTTAAGCCACCAGGTCCAGGACTCGAACCACAGTTGACAACACGGGAGTGCAGCAACATAGCCATTATGCCAACTGCTGGTCCCAATGCCCAAAATCTTTTTTTTTTTTTTTTTTTTATAGGCTTTCTCGTTAAGGAGTCGCAC